GGAAAGCCCTTTGTGGGAAAAACGGCCTTTTCCGTCGGAAAGGGGTTTTCCAACGGATTTCCGACGGAATTGTTCCGTCGGAAGTGGAATTCCGGCACCGGAAAAAGCCCGTCGGAAATCTGACGGAATATAAATCCGTTGGAAAATTCCGACGGATTTTCCGTTGGAAAGTGCTTTAAAAAAAACAAAAAAAAAGGGGTACCCACCACCCCCAGCGCCACCAGCCTACATCCCCTGCCCCCCCTACCCATCCCCTGCCCCCTACCCCTTAACCGCCACCACTCCCCACCCGACACCACCAGCCCACGGCCTCACCTACCCCTTAACCCCCACCACTCCACTATCCCAAACCTCAAACCATGACCATCGTTCACCACAAAAAAAAAAAAAAATCAAAAATCTGAATTTATCAGTAAAAATAACTCAAATTTTTTTAAGGAATTAGATAAATAAACCCAAAAAATCGAAAACAACGACAATTAAACCAAAAAAATAAGAGAAACAAGTTATTCCGAATATCACTAAAAATAAAAATAAAATTAACCACAAAAAATTGAAGGAATTAGATAAATATACAATTATCTCATAAAATTTATAACCTAATATTACAATACTTAAAAATTAACCATAATCAGAAATTTATTAAAAAATAAACTAGATCTACAATTAAAACAAGATTACAATACTTGATGTTGTCGTTGTTGTTGCTGTGCAATTGATGTTGTTGTTGTCGGTGTTGTTGTGGCCGCCTGAGAGTTGTTGCACGGTGGTTGTTGTACGACGGTGGTTCTACTCTTCTTTGTTGTTGTCGCTGTTGGTTGTGGGTGATGGTGTTGGTGATGGCGTGGTGGTTCTCATGGTAGAAGAAAGAGGGGAAGAAAATAGAGGAAAGAAGGAGAAGAAAGATGCGGGTAGAGAATAGAGGAAAGGAGAAGAAAATAGAGGAAGAAGGAAAAGAAAATAGAGGAAAGAAGGAGAGGAAAGAGGGCTGACCAGGAGGGGAGAGAAAGGGAAGAGAGGAAAGAAAGAGAAGAGGGAAAAAAGAAAAGGGGCGGCTCGCACAAAGAAAAGGGTTAGGGTTTGGTTTTTAAAAAATTTCAAAATTTTTTAAAATATGTTCTGACGGAAATGACCTTTTCCGACGGAAAATTCCGTCGGAAAGTACAAATATTCCGACGGATTTACGACGGGTTGCTTGAATTCGTCGGAAAAATACGACGGAAAAAAAATCCGTCGAAAATTTGGAATTTTCCGACGGAATTTCGTGTCTGTCGGAACCAGTCCGTCGGAATTCGGCTATTTTCTTGTAGTGGTAAATGTTCCTCTAAGTTCAAATAATAGTTTCTTAACTACTTTTCTCTCTTTTTTTTTTTTTTTTTTTTTGTATATCATGCTAAGTGCAGTGAGCAAATGTAGAATTATAAATGATTTGAAACCTATAGCCTATGTAGGATTTGAACCTACATCCTCTGTGCAAATATAAGAACACTACAGTGCTCGACTAATTGAGCTAATAGGCTTACAATTTTACTAACACACCTAAGTAGATATAGTGCACATAAGATATAGTAGCCTATGTAGGTAACTTATAGTATTTATGGAATAAAATGAGCAAATGTAACTATATTTTGCCAGGAAAATGCACACAAGAGATTATAATATCATTTGAAGTTTTTCTCAACAAGACTAGAAAGAGATATTAATCAAATATATTGACCATATTAAAAGGCAACCCAAGAATGCCAAGATACTTAGCAATCTAGTGGACTCAATGCATCATCATTTGCAGCACAAACATGAGTTTCACATAGTTGATGTACTCAATTAATTAATAAATGAGCAAAATATTTTCGCTCATTTAACAGATGAGCAAATACGTTTGCTCATCAAACAAATGAGCAAAACTTTTTGAAAGTTAAGCAAATTACAACCTTGACATAGTTGCTCATTCACTACTAGAAAACAGTCAATCAACGACGGAAAAAATCCGTCGGAAAACCCTGAAATTCCGTCGGAAATGCCCATTTCCGACGAAATTCCGTCGGAAAGCACCCTCGGAATACACTTTGTAGGAATTTCGCGATATTCCGTCGGAAAGGTCTATTCCGACGGAATTTCAGACGGATTATGTTCTGTCGGTGCTTTTGTGGACTTTAAGTGAAAATCCATCGCAAGGTTCCGACGGAAATTTCCGTCGGAGTGGGATATGTTCCGACGGAATTTTCCTTCGGAGGCGGTATATTCCGACGGAAAATTCCGTCGGAAAAGTAAATAAAAAAAAAAAAAAAAAACAGTAACCCACCCCACCCTACCCCACCCCACCACCGTAACCCATTAGCCACCCCCTTACCCACCCCACCACTATAACCAATCACCCACCCCACCACACCACCGTAACCCATTAGCCACCCCCTAACCCACCCCCACCACCGCCTAACCACAACCTAAACACCCACGCCTAACCACCACCTAAACACCCACACCTAACCACCAACCCCTAACCCGTGAAAAAAAAAAAAATTCATAACATAAAATAAAAAACAGAAATTAAAAATGAAATGAATAGATCTAAAATCAACACAGTCCGAAATTTAACAAAAATATACATTGAAATTTAACAATTCGAAATTTAGCAAAAATTTAACTTAAATATACAATTATTTCAAAAACAAAAAGTTATACATTGAAAATTAGAACAAAATAAAACTAGATCTAATTCTAACCAAAATTAAATGTAAATCTGTTTTGGTGTTGATGTTGTCGGAGGCTGTTGCGGTGGTGGTGTTCTTGCGCGGCCTTGATGTAGCCGGTAGTTGTTGCGGTGGTGTTCTTCTTGGCGGTTGTTGCAGACGGTGGTTGTTCGTTGTAGTGGTGGTGGTATTTTGTGACTTCCGTGTTTTTAGATTTAGGAGGGATGAGAAGAGAAGAAGAAGAAGAGGGAAATTAAAGGGAAAGAAGAAGAAGAACAAGCGAGGAGGTGAGGAAAAGAAAGAGAAAGAAGAGAGGAGAGAGAAGAAGAGGAGGGGCGTGGAGAGAGAATAGGAAAGGAAAGAGAATTAGGTGGGGGGGTGCCGTGTTTTGAGATTTAGATTTAGGTTTGTTTTTTTTTCCATTTTTTTTTATTTAAAAATAAAATTCCGTCGGAAATTTTCGACAGAATTAAAATCCATCGGAAATTTTCCTACAGATTTAAAACCGTAGGAAATTAATATGTTCCGATGGATTTTTTATCCCTAGAAATTTAAAGCTTCCGACGGAATTTTCCGTCGGAATAAATTTTCCGAGGGAATATTCCGTCGGAAGCAGTAAATTCTGAGGGATATAAAATCCGTCGGAATATTTTCGAGGGATAAAAAATCCGTCGGATATTTCCGAGGGATAAAAAATCCGCCAGAATATTTCCGAGGGATTTTCCGTCGCAACATATATTTTTCGACGGATTTTTTTGACAGACCAAAATTCCGTCGGAATATTCAAATTTTCCAACGGAATTTAAGTCCGTCGGAACAAATCCGTCAAAAAACGGCCTATTTCTAGTAGTGATTTGAGCCTAATTATAGTAAAAGAGCAAAAATAATGTCCTGCCTGTTATAGTAAGTGAGCGAAAATATTCATCTCATTTTAGTTGTAATTTATACTTAGTTAACCCTTATCAAAACTTATTTTTCCTGAACTAAACTTATTTGAACTTATTAATAAGTGAAAATAAAGTGAACAAAATAGACCCTAAAAGGACACTTGGCAACATAATATAAAAAGTTTTCCCTCCAAAAAAACTTAATTAAAAATAATTGTTATTTTTGCATAAAAATAAGGTTTGTATCTAAAGTATAACTTTTTTTTTTTTTTTTTTCCACAATCTAAAGTATAACTACAAAATCTAAAATTAAACTTTCTTAAATATTAAATTGCCTATTATAACTATTACATTTTAATATTTTCTTTCACATATATTTCATACTTTTTTAATACCGAGTCTATTCTTAATATTTTATATCAATTCTTTTGGTAAAATTTAATTTTTTATTATAATTATTTAACAACCGTGCATTGCACGGGATTTAATTTAGTGATAACTACTTTTTTAAGTATATAATTTTTTATGCAATATCATTCTTACTCCTTTTACCCCTATTTTTTTGCCTATTGACTACGCATGCTAAAACATATATATATCTCTATTTTCATACTTGCAAAATTTATGAAACTTAATAGAATACAATGACAGTATTCCAATATCATACATGATTATAATAGGAGTATTGCTTAGGTGACAGTGTGACACTTGCAATTTCAAATAAAATAAATAGTAAAACCTTGTTAACATTCATCCGGATAAATTCCCTAATAACAAAAGATATGTTTTCTTGAAAAAAAAATACTCCGTATGCAATTTAATCCTCTTTTACATTGGTCAATTTTAATGATAAATCTAGCGTTTCATACCCTTTTGAAAAAAGCCCATTTATACAGAGTATTAGATTAGATTGTTTTTTATTTAACACATAAGTTGTTTTTTTTATTTTATTTTTTTTAATGAAGACTTGTTCCTATTTAATAATGATAAAGGTTAGGAAAATTAATTTGTAAAATATTATCGGCATAAGCATAGGCATAGCATAAGTACGTCAGTTTTGGTTATATATTTTCGTAAAAATATCTTCTTTTTTTTTCTTTTATTATACTTTTATCATTCTAGGTTTCAAAACATATATACATATATATATCATACATGCAATTGTTTGATGAGTAAAAAAAACAAAAAAGTATGGAAGAGATAGAAGAAGTGTCTCTTAAGATGGAGCAGACGAAGCTAACAAGCAACCCTATTATACCTTTTGATCTCTTGACGATTGAAATTCTGACTAGGCTACCTACAAAATCGCTAATTCGATTCAAAACTGTTTCGAAACAATGGCTATCAACGATTTCAAGCCGCAAATTTGCGAATTTACATGCCCAACGAACACACACCAATGACCACAATCACGGGGTTCCATATGGCGACGGAGACCTTGAATGAGGTACCACTCCCCAAAGACATGAAGTCATTTCAGTACGCTTCTTATAATTTGAGTAGGATTAAGGACAATCTGTGTTTTGAAGCCGAATATAGGTCCGACGACGGAAGTGGCCGGGTGCGCTATCGAGTAGTTTGGGAGCTAAAACGCTATGGAGAATGGGGATCATGGAAGAAGATTGTTGAGCTTTGTGCTAAACAAGATAGTTTTGAAATTAGAGATATACATGACTTGGATGCTTTTGGTTCTAATATTTATAAGGAGAGTTATTTATTTTTGATGTATATGTTGCAGTCTACTGGTTGGTTTATCTACCGAAGCAATGATGGGAGACACAAATGTATTCAACTAGATAAACTTCATTGTGCCTGCCTCGTGTGCTCACATGTTGAAACTCTTGTTTCACCTCTTATGGGATCGGAGAACAGACTATAACTATAGATTATTTTTATATTATAATAATCATATGTAGCTTTTAATTCAGTCTATCAATTTCGTAATTGGACTCTTCAATTCACTCATCAACAAACTAATGTTATTAAGCATAGTGCTAATATTATTTATCTTTCGCATTATGTTATGTATTTTGTACTCTAATAAGTTTAGACTTTCTATCGCATGTTTAGAAAATATGAAGTCTTTGGTAATCTACTATGTGTAGTTGTTCTTGCCTACCAAGATTTGAAAATAATGTGCGAGCTCTTAAAAAACTTCAATCGGCAATTATTAACTTTCCGATTGAAAGATTTGTTTGGAGGAGTAAGTCAGTAACTTATCCCTATCCTCCCTAATCAACTAACCATGCAATTTTTATTTATTTTTGGTTTGATTTAGTGAAAACTTTGAAATCTAGGGAGTAATATATTTGTAGAGCACCACATATGATAATCAACGAATAAGATTGTAAATTACAAAACATTAAAAAAAAAAAAAAAATCGTGCTAATGGAATCTAACAATATATTCTACAGGTTTTATTCTGTATCCATCGACCATTACCATGATTGGACCATACTTCTTTTAAAGTGTATTTTTTTTTTTTTTGACAACAGTAGAAAAACACAAACAAAACTAAACAGAGTAAGAAAGAAACTTAAAAGACATCCAAAGGAAGATGAGTAGCAAAACTTGAGACATTCTGACGACATTGATTTGCAAGTTGGTGAGACCAGCTGACTTCTTCCCTTTCAACTTTTAAGGAAACGCAATGTTGAAAGTGCTTGCCTAGCTTTCGAATTTCTTTTACTATCCATTAGAGGTCATAGATAAACTCCCCTCTCTGCATAGAGAATAGTAGCTATACCACCAGAGGTTCCCCCCGCATCTCTCTCCCGTTGACCTGAAAGAGGAATTTTTTACTAGTGCAATTCTAAAGTTCTTTTCCCCTCCTCTGCAAAGAAAATCTGTTTATACAATATCCGAATATGTGATGAACATTTTCAGACAATGGATTGATGGAAACATATCTGATGTCTGCTTAATAAAACTAGTACATTTTACTGAATTTTGCTTTTTATAGTTCTTTATGTATGATTCTCTTCAGTCTTCAACTCGTCTGAACAATGATTCTTTAGGCATTAAGGGGATTGTCTACTAATTTTCAATTCAGTACCCTGTTTGATGAGAAATGATCTTAGCAATGTGGCTGGGAATTGTCATATGCAAGTCGCTGACTGTTTACTGCTTGTATTTTCCCTTTTTTCTAGGAACATTATACAAAGTAGATGGTATTTTATCATTAATATATAGCTGGTTAATCAACTTGTGATTAATATAAATTCTTATGTATGAAGTTAATATGAACACAATACTAGAATGAGCTAACTTTTAGAGCCAGGTTTTCATACTTCGTTAGTCCATTTTATAGAAAATCAGCTGATTGATGAGATCAGAGCAATCCAGAATTCCAAATTTCCAATCAAAATCTGTGAACAATCTAGAAGAAAGTAGAGCACCCTATTGTAATGAAAGGTGATTCAGAATTTGAACCTTCAAAATTGGTCAAAAAGACCAAGAATTACAAAATTTGCAGCAATACTTGAGGTGCAAACAGTAGTACATTTTCTCACCAACAGGCAACAGGATTAGTTTAACATCTGAAAGCAAGAATGTTTCAGTTTATTTGGAGACACTATTGTTACTCCTCGTAATCGACAAAGAATCTTGATTTTCGATAGAGCACGAAGACTTGAAAGCTTATGAACAATCTGAATAATTTAGTAAAAATAAATCTGAACAATCGCAATACACCACATCTATACTTTTGAACATTTAGTAAAAAATATGCACAATCACAAATTTTGAAAGTATAGTAATAAAATCTCAAATTTTCAACATGTATATTAAATACAACACTATATAATAAACATCAATTTTTTGAAAGAAGTTTGTCTGATTCATAATAATTTAATAGTTTTATAATATAGATTGAACATTTTTCGTCATATAAAATAAACATTTCCTTATAAAATATGAGCATATAAAATTAGATGTTTAAGTTCATTTTTAGTGACATGTTTATATATATTTTTTTGTTTACTAAATGTTCATTTTTTGTAAGGTGTTTATATTTTTTGTACTAAATGTTCAAAACTATAGATGTGGTGCACCTATTTCTAGGATTTGTTTAAATAACAATAAACCCTAGATATAGAATATTCTGGATTATACAAGAAGGATAATGGGCATCCACCCAATATTTAATAACAATGACTTACTTTTTTTGAAACAAATTAATTAATGGCTAACTTCTCCTAAATATCATGTCATTAATTAATATATGATAAAATCTTAATTAATTATTTGGGTCTTTATTATTATTTTGATTTTAAAGACACTCTCTATTTTTATTAAACGCATCACTAGAATTTTCACATTTGTAGAGGCACAACTTTGATCATCAATATTTTTTTTTTTTTTTTTTTTTTGAAACACCCCACCAAGGGAAAAACTTAAGAAGATACATCAGTAGCAGCTAAAAGCAAAAATTGCTTGGGGATATAATCAACCATCAATCGCACCAAAAAACATAAAATATAATCAACCATCAATATCTTTAATTACATATTAGTAAAAAATATATATAAAAAAAGATATTGTAACAAATCCAACAACATATTATAGGATTATATTAATTAATTAAATTTTAATTAAAAAAAATTAAATCAAAAGTAACATATGAATAGGGCAAAATCCCTAGTGATGCATTTTTTTTTTTAAAAAAAGGGAGGGATTATGAAGTATAAGGAGTATTTAACTATTTATACGACATCTTCTAAGTACCGTGTAACGATGGAGATGGATGTTTTTTTTTAATAATTAAATTAATTCATTAATAAAATGTCATATGACAACTAAAAAATAATCGAATTTAACAAATATATAATTTTTTTTTACCAACAAATATATACTTAGATCAAATAAAATTTTTCTTATCCCTCCATTTTTCAACAATAATGATGGATATGGATGTTTTGATTGCTTGTTATTATATGACGGGTATCTAAGGCATCAGTGTCATCATTTTATTATTTTTATTTATTTTTAGGATTAGTATTTAGTATATATATCTTATATCAGTGTATCTAATGGCATGTGATGTTTGCTTATAAATAATCTTTATTTTCATTAATGAAGAAAAAGAAGTTTTGAATTATAATTGATCAATTCGTATGAATTGTTTTAGCAAGAGAATTGCATATGATATTTGCTGAGAAAGCTACCAATTAGTTGTTATTTAGTCTTGGTTAAATTAAATAGCTTCATATCCCCGATTTTTTTTGAAATTTTCTAAAGAGCCTATAAAAATACACATCATTATAACAATATTAAGTAGCTTCGTGTAAAAAATAAATAAATAAATAAAAAAAATAAAATAAAATAAAATAAAATAAAATAAAAAAAGTATACATAAGCTACAATTCTACAACCCATCTCAATGTAATGAGTGGTCACATTTTTTAGTACTATCTCCAATCCACAAAGTCATTATCCTATCCCCTCCATCCACAAACTAACAAATAAAACTCAGCAATAATATTGACCGTCGACTTTAGTCTTTAGCTAAGCTTGGGGTTTTATACACATGAATGGACACGGCGCTCGATCTTTGCCGTGGTCTGAGGGTCCGACCCGTAGTTTACGTTTGATATCAACATATTTGTCCTTGAAATCGACGCGGCGAAGACCTTAGCTTGTTCTATTAACAAGACCTTGACTTTTAAAATTATAGCTCAAGTCTTAACAAAACCTTCATTGTTTCTAGCCTATTGGAAAATGAAAGCTAAGTGTTCTTATCTAGGGGTGAGCAAAGATCCAGGGTATCCGGTATCGGATCTGAAACCGGTTAGGACCTGTCAGGTCTGGACCCAGAACTGGTCTCATCGATTCCGGGACCGGGTCCAAAATTTCAGATCCGGTTGTAAGTGGTTTCGGTTTCAAATCCTAAAATTTTGGACCGGATACCCAGTGTATATGATATAATGTGTGGATTGTTTGTGTTTTTAAGAAATTATAGAGTTATTTACAACCCATTTTAATTTCTAAGCCCAATTGCTTATAAAAGTCTCAACCCACAATCAAATAAAACCCTAATACTTCTAGATTTTTCTCTCTGCTCTACTATACCGGTTACCTAGCATATATTTTACAAAATATATTTAAAAAAACAAAAATATGTTGAACGTAACTAATTAGTAAAATAAATAAAATATTAATATTTAATATAATTAAAATAGCTTAATGTATATAAATATAAGTATTAAACGCTAAAAGTAAAAATAAACCAAAAAAAATATTATGATTTGTATTATATTTCAACACTTATATATATATATATATATATATATATATATATATATATATATATATATATATATATATAAGTGAGTACCCGAAATCGGAACCGGTACCCGGGGGAACCAATTCCAATTCCTAAATTTTAGGACCCGGTTGTACCAGTTCCAATTCCGGTTCCAAATTTTAGGACCCGGTCCGGGACCGGGTCCTAAAATTTTGACCGGGTATCCGATTTGCTTACCCCTATTCTTATCCAATGTTAACTTGACCTGGTTGACTTCAAAGAAAAGCCATAATAATAATGAAAATTCTATCTATCGACAATAGTCATTTTTACCAATATACTTATGGAAGACCATAACATATATCCGCTTGTAAAAGAATAAAGTCTTTCCTATAACACTGACCGATTAACCCCTAAAACACCGATCGAGTAACGTCTATAACATTGACAAAGTAACCGTCCGCTGACAGAATAATTCATATAACACCAACGAAGTAAGCCCATGATAGCAGACTACACCGATGTGGCCAACCACATTAAAAATGATTTTTCTTTTTTAAAATTCATTTTTTTTCAGAAAATAATTTTAAATTTTCGAAAATAATTTTTGAAAAAAGTGATTTTTTAAAAAAGAAAAATTATTTTAATAAGTTTTACCAACAACAAAAATAAATAAAAAATCGACTAATGAAAATTAAGTATAATGATAGTCATTTTAAGGATTGTAGATTTATAATACGAAGTAATAATAATAGACATAACCTTTTGATGTGGAACAAATCAAACTTACTCGTACTCCGTATCAAACATTAAACTATCCAAACTATGTGATCATAAACTACTTCGTAAGTGAATAGGAGAAATAACCGTGACTCTTCTCTTTCGCTACTTGCACCACATTAATTGCGTCACATACCATCAACTTCTTGTTGGCTTATGTGACATGGAAATTAGAGGGAGCCTTAGTTTATGAGAAACAAATCATATGACATTTTGTAAATAAACCAACAACTTTATTCAATTGTGAAGTCCATAATAATAAAAAAATTATTGATTTATTTACGAAAATGCCCCATGAGAAACAAATTTCGTTTCTCAAATAGGAAATTTCCCTGGAAATTATACTAGTGTGTTTGTAAGTATGACTGAGTAAGAGTTGGTTTTGTCTATAAAAGTGTGATGAGAAGAGTTTTCATTTTGCATCTATCACTCTAAAACACTTCTCCACTTTTTTACTTTTATAATACAAATCACCAAAAACAAAATATGATCAAAATGAATTGTGTTCTTACAATTCTGTTTTTTATTTCGTTTATGAAAACTTTAGTATTGTGTAATTGTAGTGGGTACTCCAACAACAGCCAGTTGGTGAAGTTGGGGTGTATACCTTCTGAAAGGAAGGCACTGCTCCAATTCAGGGACAGTGTTACCTTCCTTAACAAACATGTTTCGTCTACGTGGCAAGGCGAGGATTGCTGCAGCTGGCGTAGGGTCAAGTGTAATCCTACTACCGGCCACGTCGTCAAACTTCATCTCCATGGCACTTTGTCAGAGGATGATTATGGAAGATACTATTCTGAATATTTGTTTGAAGCTATAAAGATGGAGTCATCTTTGATACATTTGGTAGAGTTGAATCATCTTAATCATCTGGATGTAAGCTTCAACGATTTCAATAATAGCAAGATCCCGAAATTCCTGGGTTACATGAAACAACTCAGGTACCTTAATCTCTCACAAAGCTTCTTATATGGAAAAGTTCCACATGAGCTTGGTAATCTCACTAACTTGCAAGTCCTCGATCTATCATCTAATGATTTATTTGTGCAAAATTTGAAATGGGCTTCTCGTTTTGAGCAATTGCGTCTCCTTGTTTTAAGTGACGTGAATCTAACTCAGGCCCATGACTGGATAAGTTCACTTATTGGGCCACATCCTTTTTTAACTTCTTTGGGTTTGTCTGGGTGTAGTTTACCAAACACTCATCAAATTCATATTCCACCTTCTATTCAAAACCTAACTTCTCTTGAACACCTTGACCTTTCATATAATAACTTTGGTTCTAAAATCCCGCTTTGGCTAGGTGAACTTAAAAGTCTCGTAGGCTTGAACTTAGGATACAACGCTTTCACTGGTATTGAAGGAGGAGATATTTGGAGCCTTGCACGCAATTTATGCAACTTGAAATATCTAGATGTGAGATTTAATAAACTACAAGTGAAGTTGTTGGAGTTTCGTGAAAATATACCCTCCATTTGCACCCATTTTAACTTAGAGAGTCTGGATTTGTCTTACAATTCATTTATTAGTGGTATTATACCGACTTGGTTAGGAGAGGAGTTCCAAAGCCTCAAGTACCTTGATCTTGGGTATAACAACATATCAGGTAAAATTCCAACTTCTCTAGGCATGTTATCATCCTTGAAACATTTAGACATTTCCTATAATTCATTGGAAGCAGCAGTTTTGTCTGAAACTTACTTTGCTAATCTTTCAAGCTTGAAATATTTGGATATGAGTCAATTGCAAACCTTCTTAACGATGAAGTTGCCTTCTGATTGGGTGCCTCCCTTCCAACTTGAATATTTTTATGCTTTCACCTGCAAATTCAATAGTCAGCTACCTCAATGGCTCAAAACACAAAAGAATCTCATTGAATTGGATTTGTCTAATGCTGGAATCCAAGGGGTATTACCAAAATGGTTTCATAACATGCAATCTCTTTCTGCTGTGTATCTCTTTAATAACAATATCACTGGATGTCCTGTCTTTCCCATTAATTTTTCAGATTTGGATCTCTCCAATAACTCATTATCTTGCCAATCTATGACCGATGCAATCCATAGAAATAAGGTGTATTATCAGGCTCGTTACATTGATCTGTCTCATAATTCCATCTCAGGGAAACTTCCAGAACATTTGTATCATATAATGCCTAATTTGAGTTTGCTCTACCTATCCAATAACTTCATAAATGGTTCGATCCCAAAGTCTATATGCGATTTTACACTCTTGGAAGTGTTAGATCTTACAACGAATAAGCTTTTTGGGACAATTCCTGGTTGTTTGGGTAATTTGTCGAGTCTTTATCTCTCATTTAATAAACTCTCGGGAGATATCCCCTGCTTTAGTCCAGAGCTGAGTTTTCTGCAATTAAACGACAACATATTAAGTGGAGAAATTCCTACTTGCTTAACTAACCATTCAAATTTGAGCGAGTTGAATGTTGGTGAGAATAATCTATCGGGCGAGATGCCTGCAATAAATATTCCAAACTTGATAATACTTCGGTTGAGAAATAATAAACTCAAAGGCAGTATCCCTCATCAGTTGTGCTCATTGTCTAACCTCCAAATCTTAGACCTTGGTCATAATTATTTTACTGGAACCATCCCTAATTGTCTCAGCAACCTTACGGCGATGAATTCTAAGTTGATTAATCCATCTCCATATTTTGATCACATAGACAACATCAATGAGGTCCTCCATGGAATTGAGCGTGAATATGCATCCAGCTTAAAGTTTTTAGTGAACATCGACCTTTCATGTAATAAACTGGTCGGCAACATTCCAGATGGGATCACGAATCTCACCTACTTGTTGGGCTTGAACATATCCTACAATCAGTTGTCAGGACAAATCCCAAGTAACATAGGTGGTTTGAAATCGTTGATCTCTCTTGATTTATCAAGAAACAAACTCTCAGGATCAATCCCAACAAGCTTGGGTGCAATAACTTCCTTGGAGACCCTTGACTTATCCTACAATAATCTCTCTGGCCAAATCCCAACTGGAGACCAATTGCAAACCTTCAACAACGCCTCGATTTACGCCCACAATCCATATCTTTGTGGAGAACCACTTCCCAAAAAATGCAGGCGGAACGACGACTCACCAAACAATGGCTCAGGAGGTGAAGATGAAGACAATGAGGACGGGCGTGAGACAATGTGGTTTTACCTGGTGGTGATGTCAGGGTTTGCAACTGGATTTTGGGGAGTTGTTGGTAGTTTGTTTCTGAAAAAGAGTTGGAGGCATGCTTTCTTCAGGCTTGTTGAAGATGTGCACGACTGGTTGTATGTGGCTATTGCTGTTAGGATGGCTAAGTTGAGAAATAATAATTAAGATAGTGGTTGTATGTAGGACTGTAGGTTCTTTTTAACCAACTTGGTTTTCCTATTGTACACCAAGTATGGTACCTTTGTATTCTCTATTAATATAATCTACGGGGATGCAGCACTCCGACATAGATTTGCTGCCAACTCTTTTCTTTACAGCTATAAGTTGCAAGTACTCTGTTAGTAACTTATTATGACACTAAATACAGCTACTACTATAAGTTGCAAGAATGTTTCAGTTTATTTGGAGACACTATTGTTACTACTTGTAATCGACGAAGAATCTTGATTTTTGATAGAGCACGAAGACTTGAAAGCTTGAATTTGTGGTTGGCACTTGACATAATCGCCTTTGTTTTCCTCTAAGCATTTCTTCAGAGCCTCGACATCACACGGTGACATTCGATAACACTTGGGTTTTCACTAATTGATTAGACTACTGATTTCATAAGTTTTCAATTCTTTTTTAACCAACTTGGTTTTCCTTTGCGGCTATATAATGTACACCAATAACATGTAGTACTTGTTAAGGATATTAGTCAATCGAAGGAGATTATATACGATTGTAATTTCTATAAATCTATCAATTCAAGTATAGTTATTCCAAAATTGAGTGACTTATATTTGAATGTTGACAGTCTCCAAACAATTATTAGTCCATATAAAGATTTACAGACCAATTGATTTGATTTTTCAACAATAAACCAGATGTATGGGTTTTATCAAGTTGGGTTTAATACTTGAATTAAATAAAGGAAAAATTGATTCTAATAATCCCACCTTTTGATTATTATCTAATAATCCCACCTTTGGGGGTATTCTCTTCTAATGGTCCCTTATGACCGGTAACTTGTTGTTTGGGTAAGTTTTGTTTTTTTTAAATTCCTTGGCCACCAGGAGGTAAGAGAAAAAAATTAATTTTTAAATTTTTTTTTAAACGATAAGGAAGAAGGAAAGGGAAAAATAAAATTAAACGATAAGGAAGAAGGAAAGGGGAAAAAAAATTATTTTTTAATTTTTTTTTAAAAGAAATATAAAAAAATATTTCGACGAATCACAAAGTGACACGTGGCATGTTAACCCATTATACCGTTTACCAACAGGTTAGGGACCATCAGAAGCGATTAGCAGCGAACTGGCCAAAGATGGGATTATTAGAATCAATTTTTCCTTAAATAAATCAATACTTCTTAAAAATTAACACCCCTATTAATTATATTTTGATTAAATAAAAAAAAATTACATTATACTAAAGGCGAAACTTAGGGTGTGTTTTCTATTCACCTGATTTTTAATTATCTGAACTTACCTGAATTTATTAAAACTTATTTTAGTTGTAATTTGTACTTAGACAACCCTTATCAAAACTTATTTTTCCTGAACTGAACTTATTTATACTTATTAAACCTGAAATAATAAGTGAAAATAAAGTGAACAAAACAGACTCTAAAGGGACACTTGGCAACATAATATAAAAAGTTTTCCCTCCAAAAAAACTTAATTAAAAATAATTGTTATTTTTACATAAAAATAAGGTTGTATCTAAGGCCTTGTTTAGTTCACCTGATTTAAGCTGATCTGATCTGATATGATATGATCTGAACTGATATTTTCTGATCTGATCTGATCTGAACTTATATTTTCTGATCTGATCTGATCTGAACTTATATTTTCTGATCTGATCTGATCTGATCTAAACTTATTTTTTCTGATCTGATCTAATGTGAACTTATATTTTCTGATTTGATCTGATCTGAACTTATTTTTTTTTATCTGAACTTATTTTTTCTTATTTGAACTTATTTTAATTATTTCAATATTCTACTTTTAATGTTAATCAATATTAATGTTTAATTATTATTGTTATGATTATTATTATTACTATTATTATTATTATTATTTATTATTATTATTATTATTACTATTATTATTATTATTATTATTACAAATATTTTAAAGAAACTTATAAGTATTAAAATTACTAAATAGTATAAGGTAATAGAATTGGAATATTTGATAATTTTATTATTTACAGTATCCCACTTTATAAATGAATTTTTTTTATAAGAAAGTATTAAAATGGGGATCCTAAAAAAACTAAATTACAGATTGAATTTATCATAGCTTTTTTCTACATAGAAAAAAGGAGATTTGACTTGTTTTTAAATACCTTAATTCTTAAATAATAATATGGATTTATGATGTATCGGATTTGATTTTATCGTTTGTTTGAACTAGCAACATTTTCTATGTTACTTTGTACTAATTTTAATTGTAGTAATGCGTAGCTATTATTATTGAAAACCTTGTACGTATACTCACTTCTATTTTAAATATCTTCTCCATTTTTACATGTGGGGAGTTTTAGGAGAAATTGGTAAACGTAATAATATATGGATGGGGTAAGTGGAAGAATAAAAAATTGTATAAAGCAAAAGTATTTGACAGAATAGGAGGAAAGAAAATATGAAATTTAAAATTTTTTATTTATTGGAAACGTTAGGCTTGTTATCAAAATATGAAATTAAAAAAAAAATGAAAATACCTTAACTATGTTGTACGAAGATATTCATTTTTTTGTATAGGAAATGTTAGGCTCGTTTATTATCGCTTTTTTCTCTCTTTTTCTTTTTTTTAGGAAAAAAAGTAATATTTTGTAAGAAGATATTCAAATATTTTTGTTAAAACCACTTGATCAAGTATTATTGTTTTGATCTGAAGAGGGTGTTTCTAGAAAAAACAAAGTATTATGTTTTCCCTCCGTCCCTTATTGATAGTCCTTTTTGGCTAAGTATTATCTTGCATTGTCATTATATTATTTTATGCATGTGCAATATATAATCACTTATAAAATGTATCTTTAAATGTTAATGAACTATTAGGATTGTGTTGGAGCATTGGATGGGACTCATATAAATGCAGTTGTAAGCAATGATGATGGTGTGGTATATCGAGGGCGTTCTGGAAAAGAAACATGGAATGTTTTGGCTGCTTGTTCCTTTGATAGACTTTTCACGTTTATCAACGTTGAATTTGAAGGTAGTGCTCATGATATTATTGTATGGAACCATTGCTTAACCGTACCAGAATTTCGATTTCCCCATCCACCTCCAGGTATAATTTAGAATAGTGTATGTTTTTACTCCATACATGACACTATACTAATATGCCGTAAAACTTTATTTTGTAACAGGAAAATATTATCTAGTAGATTTTGGATATCCGAATATCGTTGGATATTTGAGTCCAATAAAAGATAAAGATATTAGAACCCATATGCCCGAATTTCGAAATGGTCCACCACCTCAAGGCATACTTGAACTTTTCAATTATCTTCACTCTTCACTTCGAACAACGATCGAGAGATGTTTTGGACAATTAAAATCTTGATGGAAAATATGACAATGATGCCAAATATGGACACTAAACATCAATTGGCAATTATGGTTGCTACATTCACACTTCACAATTTTATTCGATTACATGAGTTGGATATACCCATTGATAGTGGTATAGAAATCGAACCAAGAGCAGATTATGATTTGTTTAACGAGAATCGTAAAGCTGTAATGAACGAAGTACAACTTAATATAGCTAAGGAAATTTGGAACGTCTTGTAATGAAAATTATATTTGTAAACGTTTATGATTTGGAGCTTATAATGAAATTTTAATTATTATCGTTTATTGTTTGTGCTATTTATTATAATAAACGATAATTGTTTGTGCTATCTTGTTTGCAGTTGCCAGAGGAATCTTAAAGGACTTCATGACATGGGCCATAATTCCCAACAAGACTGAGTTAATAAGAATTAGTTTAACATTTTCAGAAAGTTTACAATGAGCCCAAGACAAAAAAAAAATTCTTCACCAATTCAACCAAATTTGCAAAATAGGGAGCTTTTTTCCCCTCTAAATCCACAGGGGCGCCTAAGTGTTTTCCAAAATTAGACACCATCGGAATTCTTAAGATGTTCTTAAAAGTTTCGGCTAAAACTTGAGGAACAGAAGGATTGAACTTAACAAAAGACTTACTAAAGTGTAGTTAATTTTACCTCAAACTCCAAAAAAAACAAAGAACTCCACATATTAAACAACAAGTATATTATTGCACCAAAAAACAAAATAAAACAAAAAAATAACGAGTCATTTATAAGAGGTTATTTATTTTTATTTTTTGACGGATTTATAAGAGGATATTTATTTATCTTAATTTATCTAGTACTTTATTGCTTATTTTAGATTAGATGTGAAAATAATAAAAATCATACGTTTTTGTTTTACATGCAGAATTAAACTCCAATAGGGTGGTGGCAATTCGGGTGAACATACTGGGTTTGGGTTAGACCACGGGTCGATTTCGAGTTGTGCTTTAAGCTATCAAAAATATTGTAAAACTTAAAATTATTATAAAATATGATATTTGGGTCAAATCGGGTTAAATTCGGGTTGTTCAGGTTCGATCCAGGTCACGTTTAGGTTTTTCTCAGTAACTTCGGGTAGGATTCGGGTCGAATTATTAGGTCGGGTTAGTGATTGCAAGCCAATTATTGTATACTCTCTTTATTCGAAAAAGTTGACTTATTTAGCTTATTTCCATGATTTATCTATTAACTTTGACCATTGATTTTTTTATCACATAACAAAGCACAAATATTATCATGAATTACATTGTGAAATAGTTACATAATATATGTGTTAAGTTTAACTGTGTCAATAATTCTAAGTCGAAAAGGAGTATAACCGTATAAGGTTAAAATTTGATCAAATCAAACAATTAGACTAGATAATAACAATTTATTTTCTTATTTTTTTAAAAATAAAAAAAATCAAACATTGCTTTAGGCCTTAAGCCCGCTAGTTTTGGGGGCTTTCCAATAGTCTCCATAAATCCCAATTCCGAAACTTTATCTCCCTGCTTGAGCAATCACTCTTCAATTCTAATAAGGTTCGGAGTCTTATTCTTATCTATTTTATCTAATTTTAATTTTCTGGGTTTCAAATCTTGTTTTTGTTATTTGTTTCTGCTCTATTTAGAAATTCTTCACTTCGTTACGGTCTATTAATTCTTTGAACGTATGTTCTATTGCTAAAGTTTTGATCTTTCTTATGCATTTTTTTCGAATTAGTAGGGATTCTGAATTGCTTAATAAAGATTTTTATTTGCCTATTTGTTCTGAAATTGATATATGTATGCTTTTGTGGGATTAAAATTGAGAAAATTTGCTGTTTTTCTGTAGAATTGATGCAATTTACCCTCATACCGTAGTTAAACGTTGATTGTAGTTAATTTTGTAGTGATTTAGTGGAATTTAGGAAGGTTTGGATTGAAGAATTTGTGTTTGATACCCAAAACTATTTGGCATTAAAAAAGTTTTCTTTATCTTTCTTATTGTAATAAATTATTCACTTTTCGATTATGATATCGGTGTACCGAGTTGAGTAGAGGGGAAAAGCAGATTATGAATTTATGATATCAGTGTACCGAGTCCTGAGTAGAGGGGAAAAGCAGATTGATGGTAGTTAATTCATGAGAAGTATTTCTGGGTTTAGGAGTTTGTTTTATGTTTGAATGGTTAGGGTTTGCGAATCCAACATGAGTTGGGAGAAGTTATTTTATGATATTTGCTTTACTTATCATCCTGTTTTGGTTATTGTCTAGTGAATAGTAACAGGACAATGCATCCCTTTAGCTTATTTCTTTCGTTTTAATGATTTTTGTGTTATTGCTGAATATCTTCTCTTAGTAATGTGAAGATGGAATCAGTGTTGTGTTTAGTTTTCCAGCTAATTTTGTTATGTCTGTTTTTAATGACTGTGACTGTGAGGATCTTTTTATTTATTTTTTATTATAATGTCGTGAATTGAATTGTTGCTAGTGATATCCGATTTTCTGTAATTTGCATCATTTGGTGTTTCCTTTGTTACTTAATTTTTGAAGAATTTCTGCTCATAGTTGTTTATTTGACTGCTAAAGATATGAGTTTCTATACCTTTGCTTTGTAGATTGATAAAACTAGAAGTTGTTGAATAATTACAAGGAAGAAATATGAGTTCGCGGTTTTGGGGTCAGGTATGCCATTATTTAACCAATCTTACTCAATCTTCATTCAATTTGCTATCCATTCAGTGAAAAATTGTCTTTCTTTTTTCCTTTCTGTAGGGTGACAGTGACACTGAGGATGAGGAGGAGAGTAATTATGATGAGGGAGAGGAGGTTGTTTCTGATGCAGCTGAAACTCGAGCTGGAACTGGTGGAAGCAAGTATAGAATAGGAAAAGACAGTGACAGTGAGGATTCAGATGACCATAAGCGAGTAGTTGTTTCTGCTAAGGATAAGCGCTTCCAGGAGATGTCTGCTACTGTTGAGCAGATGAAGAATGCCATTAAGATCAATGACTGGGTGAGCCTACAAGAGAGCTTTGATAAGATTAATAAACAACTCGAAAAAGTTATGCGTGTTGTGGAGACGGGTAAGGTTCCCAACGTCTATATAAAGGCCCTTGTACTGTTGGAGGATTTTCTGAATGAAACTTTGTCAAATAAGGAGGCTAAGAAAAAGATGAGCACCAGCAATGCGAAAGCATTAAATAAAATGAAGCAGAATCTGAAGAAGAACAACAAGCAATATGAAGATCTGATTAACAAATTCAGGGAAAATCCTGAGTCTGAAGATGATAGGGATGAAGAGGATGAGGCGGACGATGTATCAGAATTTTCTGACGAACCTGAGTCAGAAACTGAAGAGACTGATAAGGAGGATGACACCAGGGAGGATGATGTTGAGGATGAGGATGGCGATTGGCAGAAGCCAGGAAAGAACAATAAGCTTATAGATTCCAAGTTACTGAAAAATCCAAGTGAGATTAAGTGGGATACAGTGAACAAGAAAGTCAAAGAAATTGTTGCTGGACGTGGTAGGAAGGGAACTGGGAAAATTGAGCTAGTTGAGCGGCTCACCTTCTTGACTAGGGTTGCAAAGACACCAGCTCAGAAGCTGGAGATCCTTTTCAGTGTTGTTTCCGCCCAATTTGATATTAATCCTAGTCTCAGTGGTCATTTGCCAATAAATGTGTGGAAGAAATGCGTGCAGAATATGTTTGTTATACTTGATATTCTCACTCAGTATCCTAACATATTGGTGGATGATTCAGTAGAACCTGAAGAAAACGAAACCTAGAAGGGTCCAGGCCATAAGGGTACCATTCGAGTATGGGGAAACTTGGTAGCCTTCCTTGAGAGAATAGATATTGAGTTCTTCAAGAGCTTGCAAGTTATAGATCCTTATACACGTGAATTTGTTGAAAGACTCAGGGATGAGCCTTTGTTTTTGGTCCTGGCGCAAAACGTCCAAGAGTGCTTGGAGAAAAGTGGTAATCTGAAGGCAGCTGCAAAAGTAGCCCTGAGACGTGCTGAGTTTGTGTACTATAAGCCTCAAGAAGTTTACGAGGCAATGAGGAAATTGGCTGAACAATCAGAAGAAGAAAATGATGAAGCAGTAGGTGAGGAATCCAAGGGGGCTGGTGTAGGTAGGGGCCCCCCTTTGTTTGTAGTAACTCCTGAGCTTGTGCCACGGAAATCTACATTTCCAGAGCGCAGTAGGGCCTTGATGGATAGCTTAGTTTCTCTCATTTATCAATATGGAGATGAGCGAACAAAGGCCCGTGCGATGCTTTGTGATATATACCACCATGCCCTTATGGATGAATTTTCAATTGCTCGTGATTTGTTGCTTATGAGTCATTTGCAAGACACAATTCAACACTTGGATATTTCAACCCAGATAATGTTCAATAGAGCTATGGCTCAGCTCGGTCTATGTGCTTTTAGGAGTGGTCTGATTGCAGAAGGACATGGTTGCCTTTCTGAATTATATTCCGCTGGTAGAGTGAGAGAATTGCTTGCACAAGGTTTCTCTCAAAGCCGTTACCATGAGAAGACTCCTGAACAGGTATGACTGCTCATATTTGAGACTGTTATCTGTAATGCTATTGTATACAGTGGTTGTTCTGGTCTTATGGTTGGAATTTTAAGCAAATTTTGCAGGGTATAGTAGTCACTAGTCAGATCATGATAGTTGCAGATTTGCAGTGGCTTCTTTTCTGATGTATTCCAGGAAGAATTTA